CCACTTAAATTATTGATAGGTTATTATTTAGTATTAGTAGCAATACCACTTCTAGTTTTACTTTATGATTTTTCAGATGTTTCTTTACCTAAAACAGGTCTTTCAGCATGTATTTTAATTGCTTCTAATTCTGTAGGTAATAAGAAATATGGATTCTTATTCAATTATTTATATTCATTTTCTATACTTTATTTAATCTCTTCTTATAATATTTCAAATTCATTTAATTGATCAGTTATTGAAGCATCATATAAATCCCAAACAGCTGTAAATGCTCCTGTATCATTCTTTTCTATTTTAGTACATTATTAAGGTTTATGTTTCTATATATAATTAAATGTTTAAGCAAATCTCTTTGTAAAATTATCACTTCCAATTTTTTCTACTATAAATTATTCATATTTTTGAGTTCTTTAAATCTATCCAGTTTTTTTACCATGTTCACTATTTACAAATGATGATGGTCTAAATATAGTATATATATTAGTTTACATAAACATTAAACATTATGTAGGAGTTTCACTTAAATTAATAGGTATATTCTCTTCTAAATCCTCTTCTTTCAAACCTTTCTTCTATTTTGGTTTCTTTTCTTGTTATTCTGATTGATCTCTTTTAGAATCTGAATCAGAATATGTGTCTGATTACTTAGATTCCATAAAACTACTTCTTTCTGGATTATTAGATGATGAAACTTTCAAATCAGAATTCGATGATTTATCCTATTATATTTTATTAATAGTACTGCACTCTAATGGAATGATTTCATATTACTATCCATAACACTTGCACTAACTTTTGTATCTGCCGGTTTCTATAATTATTTTAATTTCTATTCCTCCTCTCTATTCAATTATTCAGCCAATTACAAGAATCTCTTTGTAATCAATCTAATTTTTATATCATAATCTTACTCTTTTGGTGTTACTACACTATCTTTATACTTTACTATAACATTATCTTATGATGATTATTGAGTATCTTTCCCTGTTTAAGGTGGACCTAATTAAGTTCTACCTCCACCTAATTGATTTGGTCTATTTATAAATATTCATAACTACCTCTTAGCAGTGACATTTGAACGAACATTTGATTTAGTTACTCCTGCTTTTAGTACCTCTGATGAAATTGACTACATTTATTAATTAAATGGAATCAAAAAATCTTACCCAAACAATCAATCCCTTGTATTTACTTGCATCATTAGCTTTGGGTACAATTGGGGCTGCTGCCTTTAATGCATTAAGAAAACGTACTTGTGAAAATACTCAACATGTCTTTGAAGAAAATATGTCTGCAACTGCATCTGCTCCTTAATCTCCTAAAAGACCAACTAAAAAACGTACAATTAATAAGTTGATGGCAAAAAATGCTAATGAAAATGAATTAGTCAAAGAATTAAAAAATTTAGAAGAAATTACTTGTGAAATAGAAAGAGTTTCTAATCTAGCTTATGATCTCAAACTTTAAGTATTACCTTTGAATGTAAATCCAATGCTTGGAAATTCAAATTATAGAAGTGTATTTGGTGGAGAAGGGTTTCTACCTGAGACTGCTTTTGTTAATCATGATTGCTATATACTTTGTAATATGATCTTATTAATTTAGAACATCCTAATTTTGGACCAAATGATTTATTATCAAGAACAAAGAGATGGTTAAGATCTGGACCTAGAAAACATCTATTATTTAGTCCAGATGAAGTAAAAGCAGGTATTGTAGTTGTAGGTGGATTATTACCAGGATTGAATGTCATAATAAGAGAATTAACAATGTGTTTATTTTATAATTACAAAGTATAGAATATATTTGGTGCTAAATATGGATATAATGGAATATATAATAATGATTGGATTAAATTAGATCCAAAAATGGTTAAGACTATTCATCATTAAGGTGGATGTTTTTTAGGTACAGCTAGATCTAAATTTGATGGTGAAATGATAGTTGATGAATTAGCTAAAAATGGAATTAATTAAGTTTATTTAATTGGTGGATTAGGTTGTATGAAGAGTGCTGAATAATTATATGAAATAATAAAAGATAGAAATCTCAAAATTAGTATTGTGGTTATCCCTAAAAGTATTGAAAATGAAATACCAATCATAGATAAATCATTTGGATTTGAAACTGCTATTGAAGTATAATTATTATTCAATTATTTAAAAGGAAGCTTAAAATCCTTTAAAAGCAGCATATTAAGAAACACATTCTAAAAGATATTCTGTTGGTATTGTTAGATTATGGGGTGCACATACAGGATTTTTAGCATTAAATGCTTCTCTTGCCTTTAGAAGTGTAAATATATGTTTGGTTCCAGAATTTGAATTTGATCTCTATGGAGAAAATGGATTATTATAATATGTGTATTAAAGACTATAACATAAAGGAACATGTGTTATAGTAGTAGCAGAAGGTGCTGCTTCTTCTTTGAGAGATTGCAAAATTAATGATAAAGGTAGAGATGCTTCAGGTAATATAAAATAAGGAGATATTGGATTATTTTTAAAAAATACTATTTTAGAATTCACAAGAGAAAAAGGTTTAAATGCTGAAGTTAAATATATTGATCCATAATATATGGTTAGAGCTGGTAAAGCTAATTCATTAGATTCTAAATTATGTAGTTAATTGGCATAAAATGCAATTCATGCATCAATGGCTGGTTTCACTGGATTTGCAGTTGGTCATGTTAGCAATAAGACTTGTATGATTCCATTAAATGAAATGAATTCAGGAAATTATGCCAATAGAATTACAGTAATATATATATTATATATATATAGCCATCAAATATATCATGGTAGAGATTATTAGCAGGTACTGGATAACCATCATTCTTAAATAATGAATAAGATATTTGATAAAAAATATAATAAAAATGAATAATCATATTAAATTGAAAAATAATTATGCACTAGGCATCAATCCTGCTTCTTCTAAAGTTGTTTAGTCATCTTTTTAAAATACAGTTCTAGGAAAATTCAATATTATTTAGATATTTCTATCTTAATATTCTTTCAATCCAGATACTATTTGATACATATCACAAATTCTTTGATTTCCAAACATCAAAGCTATTAAACTATATTTTCCAGTTTCTGTTCTAAATTTTAATGTACAAACATCTTCTAAATCTTCTCCATTATCAATTCTTCTTTAAGCTTCAGTGTCTACTATCCAATTTCCATCTATAGGATCTTATCTACATCCAGCTGATCTCAATTATTATGTAGCATTTAAATTTGGTTAACCAGAAAGTCTTTTTTCAATATCTGATCTAATTGGTATTATTTTACCATTTTTTATTACACATTCAGGTAATTACTTATAATTAAAATATATAAATACTTCTAAAAACTCTTCCTTTTTCATTGGTTTTAATTATTTCTCTGCCAAATCTTCATAACCACATTATTTTTTATCATCAGCCTTTGCTTCATAAACCTCTTCAGTTTTGTCAATTAATTTCAAAGGAGTACCATTTGGATATTATTATCTAATTATTATTATTATTAAATTACTTTAATTAATATGGAAAATAACCTTCCAAAATATCAGCTAATATTTAATAAGCATCATTTGAACCATAACTGAAAAATTTGTACCCTTTCATTGCAATACCATTTTTATAAAATCCTATAGGTAATGGTTCCATTTTTTAAAATTAATGCATACCATTTGCATTTTTTACTATTTAATTAGCTCCATCTTTTTCCATTATATAATTTAATTCTTCAATTCTTCTTTTTATTACATCTATTGAGATTTCTTTAGGTAAATGATAATTAAATAAAGGTTTCATTTATTTCATATCAGATGCCATCTATTTCATTTTTTTATCATCTTCATCACTTATTTTATCACCAACCCATTTTACACCATATTTCTATAAAAATTTTTCCATATCTTCTATTTTCTTTTATTTTTTTTAATTTTCCTCTTTTAAACTATTAATCTCATTCATATATGCTTATTTATCTCCACTTCCTAATTTTCTATTAATTTCAGTTAATTCCTAGACTTTTTCTCTCAATTACTCAATTATTTAATATTTCTCCTTCAATTCTAATTTTTGATTTTGTGATAATTTTTCAACATCAGCTAATCTTCTTGCCATTGCACTATTTAAATCCTTAGAATTTCCACTATCCTTTTAACTACTCCTAATTGGACTTTAATTTTGCATTTTATGTTGATTTAATAAAGCCTCTACAGCATCAAATTATTAAGATGGTTATCCTATTTGATTATTTATTATAATTTAAAATTACCTATAGGGAGATCTTTCAAAATCAGATTGGCTGTTTATTAATCTAAAATATCATGAGTAATTTATGGATAATTAAGTGCCTTTGAACCAGCATCTTTTAATACTTTAGGTGGTTTAACATTAGAAGGTTTTTATTTATCAGAAGCTGATTATTTTCTATTAGATTAAACAGGAGTTCCTTATTATTCTTATTAAGGGTTCTTTATTTAGAATTCATTTTTATTCTTATCAATTCCTGCATAAAACATTTATAAATAATTTAATTAGTCTAATTTCAATTATTTTTTATTTTTACAATATATTATTTACTTTTATTAATTTTATTATATTTTTTATAATATATATTATTCTTAATATTATGTGATGAGATATAATAATAAATAATAGAAAATAAATATAATAATAATATCAATGAAACTTTTTAATTATCTAAATTAATTAAGTTTCATTTATTGGTTTAATTAAGAAATCAGACATTCCACTATTAATACATTTTTCATTTTCTTATTGATCCGAATAACCACTACATCCAATAATTACATAATTAGGATAATTACTTAATATTCTCTTTGTAGTTTCTTAACCATTCATTAATGGCATTTCTATATCCATAAATACAATTTTGTATCCTTAACAAGAATTACTGCATTTTTTATTTTTTATTTTTTCAATACATTCTTATCCAGATAAAGCTGAATCAACATCAAATTCATTCTAAAATAAATATTTTTTGTTTTTTTATAATTATTAAAATAATCTTCTCATTGCAAATATATTAAAACAGTCATCATCTACTATTAAATAATGCAAACATATTTATTATGTTGACCAATCTTCTTTAATATGAGATTATATATATTTAAAACTAGCTATTTCTTCTACTTCTTAAATTTATATTGAAATTTCAGGAATCTTAAAACTAGATACTTTTTTTCTAAGTGGTTATTCTAAAGGTAAATCAAAATAAAAATATGAATAATGATTATCTTTTTAATTACTTGATTCAAGATTTAATCCAGTAGAACCTATAGTTTATGCTATTTGATTACTAATAACTAAACCTAAACCAACACCTTATTAATTTAATTTTTTGCTTTCTTCTGAATTAACTTTTTAAAATGCTTTAAACAATGTCATCTAATCTTCATCTGAAATTCCAATTCCTTCATCCATAATTCCTATCCTTATCATATTTGAATTAACTTTTTAAACATTAATAAATATTTTCCCATTTTAAGTAAATTTGAATGCATTACTTAATAAATTAATAATTATTTATTTTATTCTACATCTATCAGAAAAAACAACTTTTGGTATTTAATTAGCAAGATTAAATATTAATTGAACTTTTTTCATTTTAGCTTTTAATTCAAACATTTTCATACATTCTTAAATTAATGTTTCTAAATTAAAAGGTACTTTGTCAATTCTAAATTTTCCATTTTTAATTTATGCCAAATCTAATAAATCATTTGATAAATTTAGAATATAATTTGAATTATCTAATGCAACTTATAATTATTCTGTCAAATCTTAATTATCTTAAATTGTCTAATCATTCATAATACATTCTAACATTTAAATAATACAATTTAATGGTGATCTATATTCATGACTAACAAAAGCTAACATTTTTGATTTTTATTTATCATATTCTTTTAAATATCTTATTTTTTATCTATGAGTAACATCTCTACATATGATAATTATATTATTTTTATTAAGAGTTAATGTTAATTCAATTAATTAATAATTATCACTATTAATCTAAGTTTATGAAGTTTATTATAATTAATTTATTGTAGCTGAAAATCTCTATTATAAATTAGTTTAAACAATTAAACATTCATAATTAGATGATTTAAATAACATTTCTAATACTTATTTAAATTAGTATTTATGTATTTAATCATTTAATGAATCTTAATTTGAATTTTTATGTTATGATATATGTTAATCTTTTATTTCAATTTATTTTAAACAATAATATGAAGGTCTATTTTACAATTATTATGTAAATTACAAACCATCACCATTTTCACTTCCAGTAAATATAGTAAGATTTTCTAATAAATTTAAAATTTCACATTCTGTATCTCTTCCAAATATAGTTTTTGTTGCATAATTAATGTATTTAAGTGAATATGGAAAATTAGGATTTTCAGATTCAGTACCCAAAATAATCAAACCTTCATTTAAATATTATAAACAATGAAATGTTGTTTCTAATATAGTTGAGTCATTTATTACTGTTTCTCTTAGACATGCTGAATTTAGATTCTAATCTAAATCAAATTAAGATGCATTCTTATTAAATTTAAGATTATCAGGTTTATTTGTATTGGTTATTTCAGTTATTAATACATTAATTTAGGATTGATAAGGCTTAAAAGAGATAGTACAACAATATAATGTTATAAAGAAACTTATCAATAATTAAGGATGTTCAATATCTAATTGAATTTGGATGTAGGAATATATAATCAAAAACATTGATACCATTAATTATAGGATAATGATTGGGGATCTCTTTATTTGTTTTAATTCAAGAAACAAGTCTTTTGTTAAAAGTTATGAAATTATAAATTATGAAAAGGGTATCCTAGATATATTTGAAACATTCATCAAAATTAAACAAATTTAATCTAATTGAAGACAAATAATAGTTCCTTACAACTTAAACTTATTATGTTAAAATTGAAGCATCATAAATACAATTGTAATAGTGGTAGTAACAATTAAAGTTATCATATTCAGTAAGTTGGAACTTATCAAATAGAAATATATTGAATATGAGACTATCATTAAGTGTATGATATTTGCCATAAGACATTTTTGATTTAACATTTTTATTAAAATTACACATTAAATGATCATTTCAATTTTCTGTTTTTTATAATACACATTTAAATTACATCAGAAGATTGTACATAAACATTCTTGATTCCTAATATTTTTATTGATTATCTGATGTTAATCATAATTTTTTTAAGGTGATTACTAACTTGTAATATCAGTATCTTAAGAATAACTAGTTTATTTATTTTCTTTATCTATTTCCATCATCTATAAATAACTAATATAATTTATTTATTTTATTTACAAATCTTTTGTTTCAAATGAATTTATTTATTTTACAATAATAAGTTATTTTTTCAATAAAATATTAGCTTTAGTTATTGCAGTACAATAACTTACTAAATTTTATAATAAATTGTCTTCAATAATAATTTCAATTTATTTTCTGATGTTCTCAAATTATTCACTTAATTAAAGTCGATTTTGCATTAATTCACTTTCTAAACAATTTAGTTCAAATTTAAAATTTTCCGCTATTTACAATAAACTAATTTATTTTGTTATTGCCTCTCTTTATTATTTTAATTCTATATTCTGACATAATTTTGAATGGCAACTCTTTAATTCTATCAAATTGCTTTTGAAATAATTACTATATTCTAAATTACTAATATTTACATTTATTATAGATATGACTCTTTATTATTTTTGAATCTTGGAGGCAATTAAGCTATTACACAAGATGGAGATTATTATCCTTGGAATTATTTATTAAGAATTTCCTGTAAATTTTTATTAATCTTTCTAATCTTAAGAAATGAATAATACTAATACTTGTTATTGTTTTTCATATAAATATGATTTCAATTATTCTTGCTTTTCTTTTGTAAAGAATTCATCAATATCTAATTTAATATTACATGTTGTCTAATTAAATAATTATTATACTTAGAGTTTCTAAAAAATTACTCCTAATTGTTATTTCTCTGAATCATCTTTCCATTATGTTGATAGAATGTAATTAAATAGTTCTTATTAAGTTTGGAGAGCCAATTCAAATTTATTCATAATTGATGAGAAATATCCAAAAAGAATTTATCTAATAATCACATAAGTATTTATTAATATCAATTTATATGGATTGGCTAACTGATAAAGAATGAATTCAATTCTCTATCTAATTTCTCTCTTTCTTATTTTAGATTCAATCTTAATTTCCTAAGTCCTTATTTAAATTATGTTACATTAAAACTTAATATTATCTTTCCTTTTCTGATTTTCTTCTTGGTTTTTTATAGTTTGGAGATTCAATAATTTTAGGTTCAGGTAATGTAAATTACATAGATGATTCATTAATATTTGTACAAATTGATTATTCCTCTTTCAAATTTCTTTTTGAAGTAATAACCTTTTCTTCATAAGTTTGAGTTTATTCTTCAGAATATGGTACTTCATAGACTTCAACTTCTACATCATTATTAGCCTAATCATCATGTTCAGTAATAATAATTTTTGGTATGGATGTAGATTTATTTAATATTCTTTTTTATCTTTCTTATTCTTATAACTTCTTCTATGATTTTTCTATTGATTCTTATCTTTTCTTATTTCTTTTAAATTTAACTAACTCTAATTTATTTCTTCTCACTATCTTTTTTCTCTCTTTTTCCTTTGTCTCAATATATTTCTCCTTTTTTTATTTAATAATTAAGATACATAAACTTATTCCCTCTTTGACATATTATCTAAAGCTTCTTGAAAAGTATTTTCAGTTTTTTCCTAAATTAAATTCTCAGCTTTCTGTTTATAATTCAAATATTTATAACTAAGACTTCTAAATTTTTATTTCTCAGATTCTCTTGTTATTTGAATATATTATTCAACCTTTTAAAATTTATTATTCATTTATTCTAATAATTATTAATGTTCCTATTCTATTTTCTATTTTATTTATAAATATATTACTAATTAATGTTGTTCTACTCTCTCCAAATAGATTTTTTATTTCATAGATTTGTAGATTTAATTTTATCTGATCTACTCAGTTTATTCAGCATTCAATATATTTAAACGATGTTCTCTATATAAAAATTATATTTTACAGCTCTATCTCCTTCTTTACTAATTCATTTTTCTATTTTATTATTCCCAAAAATTGATGCTCTTACATCTAATTATTCTTCCTTTATATTATTTTAGCTTTAATATTAAATTTATGAGCTTTCTGTTTAATCTATAACTTCTTCTCATTCTTGAATCCCTCAGCTTTCTTCAATGATTCGTTAAGAGATTAACTCTTTAACAATCTATTAGATTCCTCTGATTTCAAGCTAGTGTAAAATTTCTAATGTAATCAAACTTTCTTACTCTAATCCTCTCCCTCTCCTGATTAAACGTAGTGTAATACAATTCATATTATTCGTGCATAATATATTTATTTATTAATATTATTTATAATTATCTAAAAATCAACTGATTAATTCATATCTAATTTACTATATTAATATAGATGTATTTGAATGCTATTCAAGAATTATCCAGAACTCTAAACTTAAATATCATAAATCATTAAACTTATCAGTTACAAATTCATAAGAAACTTTCTAGTATCTACTGTAATATTTTTAAAAGATCGATTATTAATAGTTCTCACTCTAAATATTGTAATTTAATATCTTCATAGAATAAATACAGGTTTTTTTTGAAGTATTGATTATCCTTCTACTTAAAGATTATCAGGATCTTATTTTCGTTGATAAAAATGGGAGTTCTCTCACAAGGCACTTCAAATATGATTATCAATAATAAAGTGTTTTAACTTCTAGATAACATTTATTCTTAAGTATTTATTATTTAATTGAGCTATATATATAACTAAATATTATTATCATAAAAGTTATTCTTAGTTATATGAATAAAATATGATAAAATTGTAAATATCATATAATTTCTCAATAATATTTTATTGAAATAATCTCGATTGTTCTTTCGAAACTTTTATTCCAAATTTTATGGTAGCTACTTCTCTTTAAATGATAAATTACTTATAATATCTTTTAGGAAACTTAATAAAAAGAATAAGATTTTAGATTGGTTTATTAATCATAGAGAAATTTTGATTAATATTCAGAAAGTATTCTCATTCTCTCTTTTATTAAAGCTGATTTATTTACAAAAATATTCTCACTTTATAATTGAATTTTGAAATTTGAATATTATTATTTTATAAACTATTTATTTTTTCTTAGAATGTCACTTTTTAATAAAATATTATTCAATTCGTAAAGTATTTTCTTCTTTTATTTTTACAATTATATTATTTTACATTTCATCTTCTACATCTATTATATATAATTATTTCAATTTAAATGTTATTTTTTAGGTAGAAATATAAAAGTGTAAATGGAATTCATCTGAATAGATTAGTAATAATATAATATTAAATTATTGATCATTACTTGTTTTAAAAATTAGAAATATCAAAAATTTGGTATTTTCTTGATCAATAATTTAAATAAATGATCAAAACTTTTACTTATACTAAATTATTATTATTTAAATTATTTTATATTACTTATTTTTGTCAAACATACTTGTAAATTTAATATATATTTATAACATATTCTATTGATTGAATTATTAATAAAACTCTATAAATGAATCAATCATTTGGAGATATCAATATTTTAAAAGAGAATTCCTTACTATTGTCATATTGGACAAATGGCAGCTCTTTTATTATATTTTAGAGTTGTATATATAACTAACTGAATCTTTTCTCATAAAATTGTTTCTAATATTATTAATACTTAAAATACCCTAAAATTCTAAATAATGTTAAAAACTCTTCTACATGTGTAAATCTTATAATATGTGCTACATTTCTAAGTCTATTTTTCAGTCTAATCATTAATTTAAGGAATTCTTATCCACGTTCTTCTCCTAGAGTATCAAAAACTAATGTTCTTTATCTACAGGCATAGGACACCATAGCTTTTGCATAATTTTTTTGGATATTTGTAGATTTAACCAAAAGGTTAGGCTTCTAAATTTTTTTGATTAGATTGACTTTAGTTGATTTTGGTTTAGTAGTAAAATCTCTCAAATTATCATTACTACTATCAGAATCTAATTGGCTTTCGGTTTCAGATATGGTTTTTAGTTTTGATTGTCCCTATTGTTAGTTCAATTCAATAGATATATAATTTGTTTAAGTTGTATTTTCTTTAACTTAATTTTGAGAATTAATTATCTATGTATTAGTTAATGCAATTGGTGCTGGCATTATTAAATACTAGAAACCAAATGGGTAATAGAATGGTTATTGTACATAATATGCATTAAAGTTGGTATTTAGCATCAATTTTTTATAAATAAACAAACAAACACAACCGTAAGACTTATAATATTAAACATGCAAATTCGGTTTATTCGCTTAATAATTTATATAATATTATTTTGATAATTTTTTTAAATAAAGACATAATTGAAGTTTATATATATTATTTATAAACATTAAACTTTGATACTGTTTAGTAGTGAGGATTTTGAAAAGGAATAAAGAGATTTTCCATTTATAAAGTTAGAATATGAGATAAGAATAATTTTAATATATTTGACTAGAAATCTATATAAAAGTAGATGAATTGTTTAATTCATTTGATTAATATCAAGATATCATATAGTATAGACATAAATTTAATCTTGTGATAAATTTAATATTATTTATATGAAATTCTATATTATTGCATTTCTGATATTTGCTTCATTTGGAGTAGATATTGATAAGAATACATTTTCAAATTATAAAGAAGTGAAGATGTAACATTTACATATTGAATGGTTATTAAATTTAAGATCTAAGATAATTGATGGATCAGCTGAATATACATTCAAAGTGACAACAGCAGAATTGAAAGAAGTATTAAATTTACAATTATGAGGTTCATTTGGATATATATTAAATGGAAATTAAGTATGCATATTATCCAAATGTTGGGAAAGTATTGGATTGGCATGTAGAATCAGATCCAAAATAAAGTTTAGTTTAGGGAGACAAACTCATAATCAAATTAGGATAATCATACAAATATGGAGATATCTTTTAATTAAGAATAAAATATCAAATAGGAGAAGCAGCAAGAGCTTTGAGTTTTATGAGCATTGAATAAACTGATGATAAAAGTATTAGTTCATATATATGAAATAGAGGCTCCTTATTTGTTTTCTTAATGTGAGGCCAATAATTGCAGATCTATGATACCATTATAGGATACTCCAAGCATTAAATTTACTTATTCAGCAACTGTACTTACTTAAGATTCTTAAATTAATGTATTTATGAGTGGACTTCCTGTTAAAAATAATAAATTTGCATTGATGGAATAATATAATATGAATGGAATTGCAAAGATATTTTAATTTGAATTAAATATAAAAATTCCTGCTTATTTAATTGCTATTGTAGCTGGTACAGTATAAGAAAAAGCAACTAGTTAAAGAACATCTGTAATATCTGAAGCCAAGAATATAGATATTTATCAAAAGGAATTAGAAGATTTAGATAAATATGTTAAATATTTAGAAGACTATATTGGTGAATATAAATGGGGTTTTTATAAAATAGTCATATTACCAGCCTCATTTCCATTTGGAGGTATGGAAAATCCATTATTAACATTTGCAAATCCATCAATTATAGTTGGAGATAAGAGTGGTGTTAGTGTTGCTATTCATGAAATAGCTCATTCATGGTTTGGTAATACTGTTACTTGTAATAATTGGTCTAATATGTGGATTAATGAAGGATTCTGTGTTTTTTTGGAAAGAAAAGGATTATTACAATTATTTGGAGAAATAGATTATGTATATGTTAATTCTTAAGTTGGTACAAAAGAAATGAATGCTTTGATTAAAGAATTCAATTCTAGTACTGATCCTGTTATAAAATCTTATGCTAGTTTACATCCAATAACTGAAGATCATAATGCAGATGATAGTTTTAGTGTAATATATATATATAATTAAATTAGACTATTCCATATGAAAGAGGATATTAATTACTTTTCTATTTAGAATCAGTAATTTCAGAAATCAAATTTTAATAATTATTAAAAGATTGGCTTAGATAAAATGAATATTAAAGTGCTGATGAAAATGATTTTTATAATTTTATGATTGTCTGGATTAAATCAAATTTTACAATTGAATAATTTCTAGCAATCAAATAATAAATTGATACTGTTTATACTAAATGGATATATGATACAGGTATATCTTTTCAATTATTATTTTAGGTTCTCCTCCTGTAAAATTAGGTTTTATTAATGATGCTTCAACATAAGCAACAGATTTGGCAGAAGATTGGCTTTCATCAAGACCTGGAGAATAACCTTAAGGTTTTGAAATATTTAATCAATTCAAATCAAACCAAAAATAATTATTTTTGTCTTATATGCAAGAAAAATACACTAATTTAAATACTATAACAATGAAATAATTAGATTTAAGTTATAATCTTAGTGATAATAAAGATGCAGAATTATTATTTAGATGGTATACATTATCTATTTAAACCAAATATGCTACAACTAACACTAATCTTAATAAAATTAGAACATTTGTTGGTAAAATTGGTAGAATGAAAATGATCAACCCTATTTATAAAGCCTTAGATAAGTATTTTATTATCCAAATTTTAGGAATACTGCACAAACTTGGTATGATGAAAATAAAAATTTTTATCATCCTTTAGCAAAATAATCAATTGAAAATATTATCAAAAGTAAAAGCCAATATGTAAATGTTGAATTATTATGAATCAATTAATCTATTGATATATAATCATATATATAAATAATACTAATTAATTTAAATGAAGAAGATATATTGGAGAATATTTTATTAATTAAATCAATTATTTATTTAAAAGTATAAGTTTATTTCTTAAAAAATAAACTTATTGTTATTTGCATTATATAATATATATATATATTTTATAAAATGTTTTTCTATCAAGTTACTATCAATAAAAATATTATAATCTAAAATTTGATTCTCCTTACAATTATAATTCTATTAAATTTACTAATTCTATTATGTTCAAATTTGCAATAATATTAACTAAAATCCAAAATTTTATACTCAATTTATTATTTGACGAATTCTATAATTCTATTAAAAATAGAAAAATAATATATGAATTGAATTCATCAAATAATCTCAACCCAAGCCTACCCTAAACCTATGCAAGGGTATAAATCATTAGATGTCTCTATTTTCATTTCAAAATTCTCTGTTTTATTAAGTTTCTTCCATTTTATTAATTTCTGATCCATATCTATTAAAACTGAAACAATATCATATTCTGTATAAGAAAAGGCCTTTTCGCTACTTTTTTCTATTTTCAATGAGGAATATAAAGTCCCATCATTTTCAATTAAATAACAACTTAAATTAAATTATATTTATTTTACCCATGTCCATAAGATTATTCAAATTATGCAATATATTTTTACTCTAATATTTTCTATTTATCACATACACCAATCATTACCCAACCACCTATTTTGAATGAAAATGAGAAACATCCATTTTTTGGAATCTTTTATTCACAAATTACAAAGTGATTTTTATAAAGTTCTGGACTATTACATATTGCAATTTTTCCATCATTTTCAATATTTATATTATTATTTTTGTATTATTAAGAGAAACTTAAAACTATTTAAGTTTATTCAACTTATTAAGCTAATTTTGGTTATCCTTCATTCATTGTCTTTAACATCTTAAAAACAGATTTAAAAGTTGGAAATAAAGACATAATTTATTTAGATATCTCTTTAATAGTATTTTAAATCTAATCTTTTACTTTATCAAAACAACATAATTTTTATATATCACTTTCTAATTATTTGTAATTCAAGTTCTTAAATTATTAATTGATATCTGTCTACATACTACTTAATATCAATTTAAATTAATTAATGTATTACTAAACTAAATTGTAATGATTTTAGAATTCCTCATAAAATTTAGGTTATATGTTTTTCAAATCTTCTAATTTATCCAATTCTTTCAAATCATTATTATGATTACTATGATGTTGAATAATACATTAAAAACAAACTAGCCTCTTTTATGAACATCCAGGATTAAAGCATACTGCTATTATATTATTTTTCTCATGATTCTCAAATTAACAATTAACCATATATCGAATATAATTATTTTATTCAATAATAATAATTATTATTATTTCTCAATTATACTAATTAATTAAATGTTTTAAAATGAATATAAAGTGATTACAAATAGTTTTTAAATTCATATAATATATGATATTTTATCAAAATTATGTTATTTACTAATATATGTATAATTTACATATAAATATTTTGATAATAGACATATTTAAATTCATTAAATAAGATATATGATATATAAATATGCAAATTTATAGTAATTCATTTATGTTAATGTTAATATTAGATTATAATAATAAATAAATAATTAATACCATAAATTTAAATGATTAATCCTTAAATTATTAGTTAATTTATTATAATATAAAATGTAAAAGGAAAGAGAAGAGAAGATAATCAAGTAGTTATTTAAGGAGGTATATCCTTAGCCGATTCGCATTAGATACTGAACTATTATAAGAAACTTATGCAGAATACAAATGAGAATAATGCTGAATTACCATGCCAAGACAATATGGTTGAAGATGTGTAGGTTTGTTTCCGTGTAATGTGCCAAATTGTGGATTCATTTCTTTAAGGATATAATGATCTTAAGAATCAATATAAACTATTAGAAGATCAATTAATATCAAAAGAAACTGAATCAAGAAAACACATTTAAATTTAACAACAATTAAAAATATATGCTGAAGATTTATAAGACACATGTGAAGAGATGTAAAAATAATTAGAGAAATCTAATTCATAAATAATAGTATAGAAATGATTAATATTATGGAAGCAATTATCAAAAGAGATAGTTAGAATGAAGAAATAAATTAAGATATCTAGTTAAGAGAGATTGATGACAGATACTACATAAGATAGATTATCAACTATTCTATCATAACAGAAATAACAAATTTAACCAAAAACAATGATTAATATGTCAAAGAAGAAAACATCTTAAAATCTGTAATTAAACTAAATAAAATAGAAAAAATTCAATATCAATATTGGGATAGACAATAACAATGGATAGGATGCATGAATTAACTAATTTATATAATAATAAAAAAACTAAACAAAAGAATGGAATAAAGACAAGATCAAATACAATTCATATTACTGAACAAATGAACAAACCATAAAAATAAAAAAGAGTTTAATCAATCCATGATGTATGAATACTATTTTAAATATATTAAAATATATAAATTTTTGTTAATTAATTCACAATAATAAAATTAAAAGGAAAACTAAAAAGGTTATAAATGCACAGATAAGCATACACCATAACTTTTTCTTTCCTGATTTTTATTATTCTTATGTTTTTTCTAATTCATCTTATGTCTTAATAACAATTTCTTTAGTTTTATTAACATTAGTTTCAATAATATCAAAGAAAGTATCTTGATGTTCTACTTCTAATGCTAAATCCTATACAATTTTATTTATGGTTTGTGTTTTTATTTGAATTTAATCTATATCATCTTAATTTTGTTTAAGAATTTGATTATTCCAATCTAAATGTTCATATTATTAGAGTGGTTCTATATCTAATAATTACATTTAAGATTAAGTTCTATTAGTTTCTATAGTTGATTATTTTGATTAAATTTATGAATTTAAAGTATAATTTTACACATCTTACTTAGATGATAATTTCATCATTTTATCTATTTCTTTTAATACATCTTTAAGTGATTCATATCCACAATCATTAATCATATTCTTGTACAATTACTATTATCTTTATAAATGACTTGTATATAAATCTCTTAATTTTTTAGTTTTGTTTCTTTATTCGACCCCTCGCGATTACTTTGTGTTATTGTTTAATGTACTTGTTCTAATTTTATTATCTTTTCTTTAATGTTCAATTATTGCAATTAAATTGTTTTTAATGCCTAAAACACTTAATTCACATTTTGTTAATCAATTTCGCTTTCTCCTAAAACTTACAACTCATCTACATTTTTTTAAAATTCAACCAATTCTTATCTAACAATCTTTATATTATCAACTAATTTTACTTCATATAACTAATCAAAATTCATATCATTATTCAATAATGAAGTATGCAGATCGCTCATTAAAATTTATAATTATTAATTCCATTCAACATATAATTTTATATTTCAATTCATAATATATAAATATATTTTTATATATCAATTCTCAATCTAACCATAAAACTCTTTTTCCATTTATCCAATGTCCCTTTCTATTACCCTATTAAATATTTCTATACTCTCCTAATCCATTCTATTTTCCATCCTCCCATTATCCACTATATTATCTATTATCAACTAACTATATTTCAATCATAAATACTCCATCTTAATGTTCCAAAACCATCTTTCTTATCATTTTTATATTCCCCTTCATAAATTGTTCCATCTGCCCAAATCATTTTACCCTTTCCATCTTTCTTATCATCTTTCCATTCTCCTTCATAAACTCTACCATCTGGCCAATTAAAAATACTAAATATAATCTATAATACATACCCATATCCATTAAATTAATTATTTTTAAATTCACCTTTATAAATACATTCATCACTAAATCTATAAATACCATATCCTGATCTTTTCCCAAATTAAAAACTTCCTTTATATGTTGATTAATCACAAAATAATTCAAATCCTTCACCATGTTACAAATTTTAGAACCATTAACCTTTATACAATGATCCATCATAATGGTAATATTCTCCATATCCATGATCTCATATTTAACATTTACATATACGTTAATCATCAACCCAATCTCTAATATAATAATCACCATCACAATATATCATTCTCCCTTTTCCATTTGCTTATCCTTGACAAAATTAACCTTCAAATAGAGAACCATTTTTCATTATTTCAATTCCTACTAAATTTTACAACAATTATTTAACCTTTTCCACTCTTTTAATCTTCTAACCATCCTCCTTTATATAAACTCCCATTTTTTAATTCATATACATATTGGTTACTTGTTTCTACACATTCATCCTCATAAGCTCCCAATTTACCTAGAAGTTCCTTTATTCTAATTATATTATACCTTGACTTTTTGAGAAGAAGATTAGAATAATTCATTTGTCAACACAGCAATCTTACAATTTGGTTTGTGAAACTCAAAAACTTAAGAACACTCTGTTTATCTTGTCTTTGTTTGAGATTGCATTTTATCTAAATCATCTTGTATTAGTGGTTCATCTGAAATAGTTAAATGTTCTTTTATGACTTCTGCCTTTTGAGTATATGCCAGTGGAGGTATTTCACTTATTACAGGTACAGTTTCAGAACATACACATTATCCCATTGATATAATTATTATTAGTAGTAAGGAAAATATATATAACATCATGGCTTTTTAATGAAATTATTATTGGTCTAATTATCTTATTCTATCAATCCTCCCCTATAAATTCTAATTCCTAATTATATATAAATCATAATCAAATGAAACCTGAGTCAATCTTCAATCTTTCTTAATAATTTCACAATCTTATTTTACTTTTTATTAAATCTTCTATTATATTAAAGTCATATAGATATCATTTAATAAATTTATTTGTATTCTTTAAATAATTTTTATATAACAAGTAACTCAATTGTTCCTAAATTTATCCAAATTTTAATAGAATAGATCTTATTATTGATTTTATATCTTACTTTTTATTAATTTATCAAATAATGTAATGCTTATAAAATACAAACACCTATTGCTTTAAGATCCATGCTTTTTTATTATTATTTGTCTTTCTAATTTTGCTATTGAATTTAATTAAGCAATAATTCTAACTACCTTAATAGAGTTACTATTTTGAAAATGATTTTATTTACAATAATGCAGTAAAGCCTATTGATATTCATTTATTTTCTTATTCAAATTTAAGAATTAAAATGATAATTATTCTGAACATATCCAATTTATAATTAATTAACAATTTAAAGAATTTATGCAAATATTGTGATCAACCTATTAACTATTTAATAATTAATTGAAACATAAAACTATCTTTTGATTCTGAACTAATACTTATATTACTTTATATACTAGTATAATTTAATAAATGGTAAATTCTAAATTTATATAAATAATTGATTATTTTAATGACTAATTTGATAAATCTTCATTTCTTAATAATCTACATGCGATTATAATTTATTTATAGAGCTTTATTGATTATTTTTCTTCAATTAAACAATATTTTAAATTATGAAGAGATTTTAAAATATAAATATTTTAATTAGCATAAACATAAATCACTTTTTAAAGAAAGACTATAGATCAAAATAGGGTTTAATAAAAGTAGTTACTTTGAATTATCTTTAATTTTTAATATTTAATTAAAGAATGTTAACTAATTACAATCCAAAAGAAATTTATCTTAATTTTCCTTTTTTACACTAGATAAATTAAGTGTTTTAACTAGTAAGAATAACAATCATAAAAAAGGGATTAGGATACTCATTTTGATGGTATATATTTAAACTTATTGATATAAAATAAATAAATTAAATCAAGCATGACTAGATAGTCTTTAGTTTCTTTCATGATTTTCATCATTGACTTAGTTAAATCTGGATTCAACAAGTTCTTCTAATTAACCAACTAATTAAATTTCATTTCTTCTAGCTTAAGTAGCATAATTATATTCATTGGTAAATGTTGAACATAAAGACTAAGCATAATCCCAAAGTTATTAATTTCTTTATAGTTTTCCTGAAGCTCTCTAGGCTATGGCTGATTAAGATCCAATTTATTAGTTTAAGTTATCTAATTTATTTTATAGTCTTTCATTCTAAGCTTCAAGTCTAGCAATAATTTGTCCTAATCTTTCTTTTTGATCATTGAAGGCAGCAATTGTCACAGCATTTGATTCAGCAAAGTCATTATAAGCTTCTTAGATATTAGCTCTTAAAGATTCTAAAAGTTATGCAACTCTTTCAAGAGCTGATTCATCAAGTTATCCCTCTGCGGTAGCTAATTAAGAAAAAGCAAAGAAGATTGGGGCAAATCTGGTTGTTTCTCTTATGTTGAAAGAAGACTGGAGCATGTTTTTAGCAACTCTACTTATTTCAATAAATGATCCTGATCCACTATTAATAGAAGCCAAAATGTCTGAAGCTTCATCAATAGCATGTAGAGCATCTTCATAATCTCTTCCTCTTTTCTTGAAATAACCAGCTTCCCCTTCAGCAGAATTATAAACTGAGGCTAAGTGTTCTTAAGCTGAGAAATATTATTATTGATTGACTTCTTATTGATTTGTAGCTCTAATTTTAGATGTTTAAGCAACATTTAATGCAGCTGTTGAGTCTCTAAGGACATTACTAGCATCTTAGACTTCAGCACTTCTAAATTCATTTTCAGAAGAACATTCAACTTATTAAACATTGTAGATTTCATCATGTTAAACTTATTCTGTGTTGACTGCATCTCTGAAATCTCTTAAAATATTTAAAATTGCTTCAAGTGGTGATTTGTTTTTCAATTTAGCTTCTACTTCAGCCAAAACAGCTGTTATAGATCTTTTTTTAGAATAATCTAAATTGAATTTTTTAGTAGCACTTGCTACAGTCAACATGACTAGTAAACATAGGATAATTCTCATTAATATTAATGATAAATTTCCATGAGATTATTCAGTTTTAAAATGAAGAAATCGATAATGAAAAACGGATTTATTTAAACAGCATACTATGTGTAATAATCACAATTAATAGGAACTTTCTGAATTTTTTCTAGTCCAACCAATCAAATGGAATTATTTCAATTTTTAATTTTACTATTATGATTGAGATCTTATTCTAAAATTAGGCTTTTGCTTAAAGATTATAGGATTATTTAATTATACTACCTAACAATTTCTAATTTGTAAGAATTTGACTTACTTCCATTATTATTCACTATTAAATTTTAATTTATTTTTTATTCCACACTTATTCCCACATTCAATTATTAACTTTCTCTTTCTTTTTGAAGATTCAAAATGATATCCCTTAATTCTGTCTTAATTTAAAAATTTTTATTTTGTGATCTATCTTGATTAAAAAAATTATGTATGACACTTTCATCTTAAAATAAACTTAGAATAAGGTTTTGCTTGAGCATAATTAAACCAGTAATTTATATTTATTGATGAGGTTTAAATTATCTTCATCATCTCTATATATGTAAAATAAATAAATTAAAAATAAATATTATTATTCTTAGATCTTAAAATTATAATTATATACAAATATTATCTAATTCATTTTTAATAGAAAATATTCTTAAACTCTATTTAAATAGCACAAATACTTTCTGTTTTATTTACATTTCTTTATTTTTATACTCTTTTATTTTATTTTCTCACCTTTTTATCTAAAATTCTTTATAATATTTGTAATATGAATTATCAATTAGTTTCTAAATGATTTAAATAAACTTAACTATTGATAAATGAAAATTATTTTTAAAGGATTTAAAGGATAAAAAGTTTTTAATTCTTTTTTGATCAAATTCATTCTCTATTCAACATTTATCTCTATGATAGAAATGGTTTTCATTAATTTAATATATTAAAATTGATCATAATAAAATGTAATAAAAATATATTAAAATCAGAAAAATAATTCTTATGAAAATTATTAATAAATGGTAATTTTAGCATGAGTCTATAAATTAAAAGAAATCAAATAAATTATTCTCTTAATTAGTGAAATATGTTTTAATAGAATTCAATATTATAATATTTTTACTATGAACTTTCATCTGACCATTTTGAATAATTTAAAAAAAATAATACATAAATTCAAAAAATTATTCTCCCCTTTCAAAATCAAATGATAACAATATCAATGATCATTGATAAAGCAGTGAGAAGTATTATGGTTTAACACAGAAATCAGTAATGTATTGATGGAAGTCAAATTTTTGATATTATTTAGAACGACAATCAAATATTTTATTCTTAATAGAAAAATATGAAAATTTGTTTAATATAATTTGTTAAATAAATAATTATTTATATTTTATTCATAAATTCATTTCTAACATTTCTCTTTTAAGTTTTTCAATAACTTTTTCTACTAAGGTCACTAATGTTTCTTCTGTCTTTTCTCTTTCTCCTCTAGTCTTTTTCAATTATTCTTATATTCTATTAGATATCTCTCTTAAATTCTCTACAATTTCTTCTTCTTTAATTTCTCTTTCTTTTTTTTCTCTTTAATTTATAACAATTATAATTACTTTTCAAATAATGATCTTAAATCATTCAATTATTCAACAAATTAATGATATATTTGTTCCTCTACATCCTTTCTTTCTGTAATTTCATTTTACAATTCATCTGCTATTTTAGGTAAATCTTCATTTAAATATGAATCAATATATTCATGTGATGTTGATTATGCCTATATTAATATATTTAATACTAATCCTTCTTTAATAACATCTTATTATAAGGACTCAATTTATTATCCAATTGAATAAACAATCTTTTTTTCTTATTCTACTCTCTCTTTAGAGTTTTATTCAATCAATCTTCTAGCATGTCTTTCTAAGTCTGTAATCAATTTAAATGTTTCAGTTTCTTGTCTTTCACGACTTAATTTATAATTTTTCAAAATACTTCTCTTATTCTTATTCTAAAAATTCAGTTATCTGTCTGACTTTGGCAGCAATATAAGTGAACTTCTCTTCTTTTTAATCAGACTAATGTTGCAATTGTGCTTCAAAAGCCATGATTAATTAACTGATTGTATGAAAACGATTATTCTTTCTAAAACATTAAATATAATGATTACTCATCCTGAACACTAGTAGAAATGTTATTTAATTTTTCAAAGATTGAAGAGACTCTATTTTAGATATTTTCAGACATTTTTTAATAATTTTTATTTGTATATAAGATTATATACATCTATTTATATATGTAAATAATATAACCAAGTTCTAGTTGTTAAAAGACAGATAAAATTTCTATTTGTTTCATTTAATATATATTTAATTAATAAAATAAATTCGTTAATGTTGGCTGATAAAACAAATTTCAATGAAAATATACCTAATGATCATAGTTACATCGAAGAGCATTAATAATAATTTGAGAAAACCTCTTAGTTTACAAACATTGATGACAATAGCACTAATTATAATGATCAAGAAACTAATGAATAGAGTGTCATTCTAAGTAAGGATCCAGAAGTCTAGAAATCTATCTGTTTATAAGAAAATGAGATCTAAAGATTATCTTAAGCATACGCTGATAAATATTATTATGAAATGAAATTTGAATAATATTAAAATCTATTGGCATAATAATAATGCACAATCTCTAAGTTATTAAGTGAAAAGAAAGATCTACAATAAAAACTAGAAAAAACTATTATTTAACATAATTATCAAGATAATTATGATTCCTTATAATAGACTCATTAATTAGAATAAAAATTAGAAGAAATACAATTATAAAATGAAAATTTAACACAATAAAATGATTTATATGAAAAATAATTAGATGAAACAAAAAGATTGTTATAAAAGTTGAATAAAGAATAAGAATTATTATAATAATAATTTTAAGAATATAAGCTATAGGTTTTTATTAAAGAATAAGAATAATAATAATTGATTACATAGTTCTAGAATAAGAGTTCTCAAGAATCAAAATTATCAATGTATTAAGAATTATAACATTAAATGAATGAAATAAAAGAACAAAATAATTATTTATTTGATTAATTAAGCAAAAAAGAATAAGAAATTGAATAATATTTTTAGAAATAATTATCAAATATAGTAGAATAATTCACTTAAGAAAAATAGGAATTATAAGAAGAATTGGAATAATAATTGGAAAATAAGGATGAAATAATACATTAATTAGAAATTTAAGTGAATGATCTTCATAATCAAGCATAACAATTATATTCTGAAAATTTACAATTATAAAATCAATTAGATCTATTAGGATAAAAGTATAATCTTATAGTGTATCATTTTAGTTATTAAGAAGACATATAATAATAGGCTAATGAGTTATCATAGTAAGTTGCTGAGTATAAAATTATAATAAATAATTTGGAAAATTAGATATTTGTGATGAATGCTGAGATCTAAAGAAGAGGTAGATCTAATGGCAAAGAAAATGCCCAAAGAGTCTTATAAGGAATTCAAAAAAATAATTTATAAAGGCTAAGTACTGGAGAAATGACATTCTCAAATATCACTCCTAGTTCCAAATCATTTAAATACTAAAATCTAAAAAATTGATAAATACTATAATAATTATAAATATAAATAATTCATATAAGACAAAATGTAAATTTTCTATCTCCCATATTATAAATAGAACCAAAATAATGGAAAAAGACTCCTAAAAATACAAAACAATGCCACCATTGATGACTATGACCCTAAAATAAAAATGATAATTACAAATATATCAAATTTTCCTGGCATAAATCTCTCAGGAATTCTTAAAGTATACAAAGCCAAACCAAATAAATAACTTGATCCCATTAAAATATAAAATACAAATGAGTGTTTGAATGGTAAATAATCTGAAATATCATCTCTATAAAATCTATTTATGTTATTAATAATTCATACTCTCTTAAATAAAGATGAACAGCTGGAACACCTGCAAATAATCCTAAAGATCCATACATCAATCCTTTAATTTTTCTCCACTTTTCAGTATGAATAAAATCAAAAATAGAAACAATATAAGCAGCCAAACAAGCTGATCCAACGCTAATGAGATAAAAATATCTCAAAAATGTATCACAATAAAATCCATAATAAAATGGAGGAAAACAAGAACCCAAAATAAGTAAAGAGATACCTCCGTAATCAACTCTCATTAGATATTTATTAGCTGCTTCACTCATCTAATAAAATAGATGGAATAATGCTGATCCAGCCATACACATTAATCCACTTACTAAAAATACTACTATAGGCCATCTTGAAACATGATATGGATCAGTATTATTTCTAAGAAATTATTCCTATTTCAAAATGGAAGTGTGGGAATAATCATGCTTATAAATTTCAACCCAATCAAATTATTCACTATCAATCTATTTATATTAAATAACATTTACTTCTTAAATTATTTTATCTTTAAATAAATTAAATTTATTTTAGAATATGATTGCATATTCAGCTACTTCCTCAAAATTAAGTATATCTACTGCAATTTTCATTAAATGAACAATCTCTTTGTAAGTCTCAGAAGTAAGCATTGTATTTTAAAAATGATCTATCTTATTAAAAATTTCTTCATATTTTTGTTTATCGGCAGTAATGTTTTGGTTGCTAATTGAAGTTGGGTTTTGTGTTGAATTGAAACTAAATATTTAATCAATATCTTGCTCTATTCTTTATCTGTGATCATAATGATAACTAACAATATAAATAATTAATAGGAATGTTAGAAATGATCCTATTACATGTGTCCAAACATTGATAAGTTCATTATGTTTCTAAAAGAGTGACTTTAGTACTAGCCAAGGAGTAGAATAGTTAATTCTATATCCACTTAGGATGTAGATGTTGTCAACTGTATAGTATTTGGCAGCTTGTTAAATAGTTCCAACAAAATGTTTTGCTTAGTTTATAATTCCTTTCATGAAAGTATTAATTTGAATAAAATAATAAATGTATGCCATGAGTTTATACAAGAATGCTTTTTAAATAGTAAAAATACGTAATGATAATAAACCATATGCAATATTTTAATAAATTATTCATATTAATTATATGATGATAATTAGTTTATAGTGCTTCTAAACCAATAATAAAATTAAATAATTCACTTAGGAAACTCAAATTAAGAAAAGTCAACTCCCACCAATAACTCATCCAATAGATTATATTTCTCCTTTATTTTTTCACTCTTTTTCTGATATTCTCTAAAACATCAAAAATTATTCTTACTTCAAAAGGTCTTCATCACTACATTCTGGGTCGATTCCCATCTTATTAGCCAGATAAACTCTAGTTAATCCTTAAATTTCGTATTATCTTGATTGTTCAGATTCAAATTTTCTTAATGCACTACTATAAAATGAATATTTCATCATAAAAAATCCCCAAATGGGTAAAGTAGTTAAAACATTACC